TTGCCTGTCTCTTGGCCTGAATCCTAGACTTCGGTTTTGTCTCCAGTCTTTGAAAGGTGCTCTCAACCTTAGAGCAATTGATTGCTTACAAATGTGTTGAGTCTCTTTGGTTCTTGGTTTTTGTTCTCAGCCTGGATGATGACCCTGTTTTGTCCAAGATGAAAGTGAGCTTTAAGGGAAAACATGTGGAATGCTTCATTTGTAGGTTAATTAAGAATAGCTGTTATCTATTGAAAGTACTACATAATTTACTTTGCATGTGGAACTTCTTAAAAGCATATGCCTCAATCTTCCTCCAATGCTCCCCTCTTCTATTCCCAAGTTATTAATGCACATTTGTAACTAAAGGCCTCAAGGAGAACATGTTTAAAATATAATTCGAAAGGAATTTGCTCTGATTTTGAGGGTCCGGACTAGACAACCCAGAGGTATCTTATATTGCTCTCTCTTGTTTATCACGGCATATTGCTAAACGAGTTTTGTCTATTCACCCTCTCCTTCCCATTGCTTTGATTACTGCCCTAGTTCAGGCCCTAATCTCTCCTGTTGGGCTAGTAAAACGAGGTTCACATTTAGCTTTCCTTCCTCAATGATGGCTTCCTTTGGGTATTAAGGAGGGCACGTGTTATGATGAACACTGGGTGTTATACGCAACTAATGAATCACTGAACACTACATCAAAAACTAATGATGTACTATATGGCGGCTAACTGAACATAATAAAAAAAAAAGAAAGTGTCTTCTACACTAAATCTAGAACTAACTTTTAAAACACAAAGTAATCATGTCACGTTCAGAAAGAAGCATGAGATAATGGAAATTCTTTTGAAACATACATACCTGGATTCAAATCTTGGCTCTGCTACTCACTAGTTAATGTATACTTAGATAATTTTTTTTCACTTTTTGTTTCTATATTTGTTGATAAATAAAATTACATTAAGAGTGCTTACCTCAAAGAGTTTTGGTGTGGACTTAGCAAGTGATGTGTATCTAGCACAGTGCTTGGCTCATAGTAGACACTCCAAAAAAATAGCTACGTCTTACTCTTTTGCTTAAAATTTCAGTGGTTACCTACCACATAAAAGATAAAATGTACATTCTTTGGAGTGGACTATATCTCTTCTTAAAATCTGCCCTAAACTAACTTTTTAGTTTTCCCTCTTATTCTTTCCAGCCACAGTAAATAAGTCACCATTAATGAACAGTTTTTTTTTTTTTTTCCTGATTTCCTGACTTTTTCACAGACTCTTCTGTGCACTGAAGTGTCCCCACTTTTCTTCTCCCCTGGTTAGGTTTTATTTAATCTTCAAGATTCATCCTAATTATCCTTTCCCTGTGGGGAAAAAATGGAGAAAATCAGCCAGCTAATATTATAACAAGTAGAAATGCATATTAAATATAGGACAATAGCAAATACTTTTCCTGGAGGAACAAATCTAATGTCTAATGTATTAGTATTTGAATAACTGTTTTTGTTAAGAAAACTTGGAGTTAAAGAACTTTTTAGAAGTTGTACATTTTTCACTTGAAAAGTGGGAAAGTTATTAGGCATCATGAGGTATATGTCACCCTCATTTCTAACTTCTTAGATTCCTAGTTTTGTGTGATACACATATTAGAAATAATGTAAAATAAATCTGAGAAAAGTAAATTTGTTTTAATTTTTGTAAAATGAGTTTTATTTTATTTATTTATTTTTAAAGATTTTATTTATTTATTTGAGAAAGAGAGAGAGAGCATGAGCAGGGGCAGAGGCAGAGGGAGAAGCAGACTCCCCACCGAGCAGGGAGCTCAATGTGGGGCTCAATGCCAGAACCCCAGGATCATGACCTGAGCTGAAGGCAGATGCTGAACTGACTGAGCCACCCAGGTGACCCTTTAATTAATGAGTTTTAAGTCATACATATTGTTGACTGCCACTGCTTTAATATGACAATAGAACATAACCTGTGAGCTGAGACTCAGATCAAGCAGTTGGACTAGATTTCTTTAAATAGTAGATGTCATTAGCTAATCACATTACTGTGAATGGTCCTATAAGACAGTCACACCATAGTAAAAAATGCCAATGAAAAGAAAGTTATCTTTTCAAGTATTTTGTAATATCGTGAATCTATGCTGTGATGATGAGTTTTTTTATTTGTTCTTTTTTTTTTTTTAATGAAAAGGTGTCTTAGATGCTTGTTTTGACCATCTGTCCAAAAACTGGTTGGCTCTTGAAATAAGTCAAACAGAAAAAGACATGTATCATATGACCTCACTGATATGAGGAATTCTTAATTTCAGGAAACAAACTGAGGGTTGCTGGAGTCGGGGGTGGGGTGGGAGGGATGGGATGACTGGGTGATAGACACTGGGGAGGGGATGTGCTCTGGTAAGCGCTGTGAATTGTGCAAGACTGTTGAATCTCAGATCTGTACCTCTGAAACAAATAATGCAATATATGTTAAGAAGAAAAAAAGAAGAAGATAGCAGACGGGGAAGAATGAACGGGGGGAAATCGGAGGGGTAGACGAACCATGAGAGACGATGGACTCTGAGAAACAAACTGAGGGTTCTAGAGGGGAAGGGGGTGGGAGGATGGGTTAGCCTGAGGATGGGTATTAAAGAGGGCACATTCTGCATGGAGCACTGGGTGTTATGCACAAACAATGAATCATGGAACACTACATCAAAAACTTGTGATGTAATGTATGGTGATTAACATAACAATTAAAAAAAGGAAAAGAAAAAAATATATATACTTCAAAACCAAAAAAAAAAAAAAAGTTGGTTGGCTCTTTAACATGGCATCTTAACAAGACAAAGACCAGAAGCATTTATTTTATGACCAGCGTGTGTATTGGACAGTTGCAGTTCTCGTGCCTCACAGTCTGAAGGGCCTGGACTGTGTAATGTGAAAATAGTCCTGGAAATAGAAGCAGAGTGTCTTGTGTTTATATGGACTCAGTTCATATCCATTAGACAGTGAAAATAACTACATAGTGGTGGAAGGTTTTCGAAAACCTTTGTGGAAGAGTTATTCTATCCAGGCCTTGAATAATTGGCTGGCTTTTGAAAACTGGATGGAGGTTAGGTAAGGGCATTTTAGATGGATTGTAGAGATTAACCAAAGGCCTGGAGAGAGTGAAGGCCAGGGCTCATTCAAGAAAAGGCAATTAATCCAGTATGACATGAAGGTAAGAAAGTACCCAGAGAGGAGCAATGGGAATTATACCATCAAAGTCTCACTGGAAGTGTTTTCATTTCCAAAAGGAGAGATTTTAACTTATTTTATATGTCATGGGAAGTGACATGGTCAAATCTGTGCTTCAGAAGGTGATGTCTGTGGCTATTCAGAGGATGGATTGAAGAGAAGAGACTGGCAGAGGGAAAAAAGTCACACGAATTAGCAAGCAGTGAGGACCTACACCAAGGCAGTGCTAATAGAGAAAGAGCAAGTGATATGTCTCCTACACTCATTGATGGGAAAAGGAAGATTGACAGAACTCAGTGATGGAATGAGTAAGGGAGAGAAATACTTCGTTATTACTATTATAAAACTGAACTCTCTTCCTAAGCTGCTCTTATTATACGACCTGCTAAACCATGGAATAAAGCTTAGGGTGGAGCCAGTTTGGATTCTATCCCATGGAAACTCAAGAATAATGCTTTTAAAATCTTATCTACATGTTGCCCCATACCTTTGCTGTGAGCCTGATGACTGGGTAAGCCTGTATTAAGAATATCCATGGTATTTCACTATGCAGTGTGGATGGCTGATCATTCAATAAGATGTGGGAAGATTCAGCCTATAGCTTATGCTGGCATATGCGTCATCTGGATTATTTTCCTGCTGTCTATAGGTGATCCCTACAGAGTAGTCTTATTTTCCTACTTACTTGACATGTAGAGGACTGTTGCAGACTTGAGTGATTTAGGAAATGTGTTCTGGTCAGTGGGGGGCAGTGTCGCATAGCAGAAAGAGGACAAATTGTGTCGTCAGAGATTTGTGTGTAATCCCTGTGGCATGACTGTCCCTTAATCCCAGGGTTCCCAGCCCTCAATTATCTTTAGAATCACCTGGGGTTTCTTTCTAAAATGTAGATTTTCACCCTTTATCCCTTCAAGATTCTGATTCAGTCAGTTTGGGATAAGGCCCTGAAAAAGGTGGGGTTCTGTTGTGGTGGTGGTTGTTTTTTAAACATCCTAAGTAATTTTGATAGCTAAATTTGGGAATCAGCGATGTAATGTGAGTTTCAACTTTCACAGGGTTGCTATGAACATTGAGTTTTATAAAATTTAAATCACAATAAAATATCAATTGCTAATTAGATTACTTCTTGAAATAACTATCCATCCCCTTTCTAAATACGTCTTCAATTTTTATCAGTTTGAAGCTCTACTATATGAGAACATATTTGTTTGCTTTTTATGCATTGTGACAGCAAAGAGAAAACTAATAAACCCTGTCCAATAGGTATACATAATACATAAGTATAGGATTAATTTTAGATGTTGAAGAGATGATAGAAAGTAGAAGACCCGTGCTTGAATTTTTGTTAAATATGAGGAATAAATACCAGTTTCTAAAAAATGGCAAAGAAACATAAACAGAAATTGCTTCTATATATTTTTAATACAAAACTCATTTTTACTGACGCTGTGATAATTTAATTTACGAATAAATTCTGACTTCCTGACTTCCCAGCTTTAAGAGCAATAGCTTAAGTTAAATACATTGTTCTTTTCTTCATCTCTTTCAAGCCAAAAACAAACAAAAAATACAAAACACCAAAAACCTTTGCAAGCATCAATAATAACAAACACATATTTTCCAAACAGCCATCCAAGTTAAAGAGATCGCAGCAGCTCGATACAATCTCTATATAATAACATGTAGCATAAATATCAGTTGATCTTGAAGCTTATAGCATGTTTTAATCGGTTTCAAAACCTTTATTCACAGTTTCGGTGTAACTGGAGTTACCCGGCCTTCTCAGTTCTGAGGGATTTTCTGATATGTCCACTGTTTTTTTATGACAGGACCACAGTATCTCCTTCCTTCTTCTGTCTCTCAGGTCTCATCTTGCTTATGTGCCTTCAACCCTTAGGCTGGATAACTTCCATGTTAATCCATTTCGAGTTATTTGCTCTTCCCCTGGGCCTGTGGAGTCACTCAAAAGGGCCAGGTTGTTCACCCAGGGGGCGGTAACTGGCACATTCCTCTGTCCTTGATACAATCTTCAGTTCTCTCCAGCCAGGAACTGATCACTTTAGACTATTAGCCTGAAGTTCGTTCAGAAGATTTAAGTACATATTCGATTTGAGAAACCTGGGATAGGAGTCCTTTTCCATAAGAGTATATATAATTTTTTGGGCTTCATCAAAACACGTGGGGGTTGGTGCTTTAATCTTCTTGGCTGTAGATTCTCGAGTGTGGAAGTCAATGTTGATCTAAAAAGAAATACTTGCTAATTAATACACACTTCCAATGCATTGCACATTTTACTATGTGACTATGTTTGTTGAAGCGCCTCAAGATAATGGCATTAAGCCCTCATTTATATCAGCTCAATTATCTTTTAAATGCCTCCTCCAAACCAGCTCTATACTAGATATGAAGGAGGTAAAAAGAAATATCACAAAAAAAATCTTTGTTCCAAGTTGGCCCACTGTATAGTTGGGAGATGCAAAAGAGGCAAACATGAACATTTTAAATATCCATACAAGGTGATACATGCATCAGAAAAAGTGATGTGGTCATTTAAAATTTATAGGAGAGAGGACACTTTGTGTAGCTATTTTTTGCTTGACCAAGAATATTTAACTGGAAGGTGGGACTATTACTAACTGAAAATATTTCTGCTGCTGGAATTGTATGTATTACACTAATCCGTATTTTATCCTAATGTAAAATAAGCTAACTCATTAAGGACATTCTGGGATGCAGTTCTGGCTGGTAATACTGCTAGTCCTTACCCCATCCCTATCATGTTAGCTAATTTTGCAAAATCAATCTTTTCATTCTACTGTCTTCAGATATACAAAATTAGATTATTATTGCACTGAACTATTGAACATACCTAAATATTTAGCAGTGAAATTATGATACTTAAAAAAGATCTAATCTTGCTATGTCTGCGGAAAGCTATTTCTGCACCTAAGTTCCTTTACACATAAACTGATGATAATGAAGATAATACTCACTTGTTTAGCAGCATCTGAATGCACAAATGCTTTATATATTTTCTCTGCTTTGCAATGCAAAAGATCAGACTCCGTTTTTTTATAGTCTTCACAAGCCAGCCAGAACTCAATGTTCTCCTCACTGAACTCAGACTTTAGGAAATTTCCAAAGACATCTTGACCAACTAAAAAGAAAGGGTGAGGGGTGAGATAATTAAATTAATTGAGCCAGTAAATGGATACTTTAAAGAAGAAATTTGCAAGAAAAATACTATTGTGTTGTCTAGGCTGTAAGGTAAGGGATGGCTAACCTGAAACAGCTGTGTTGTAAATCATAAAAATGGGAAGACCTCAGAGATTCCTTCACTGATAGTTTATCTGGGGCCAGACGAACCTGTCCACAGTCCCACAGCTGCTTAGTCATGGCTACACAACTGTGCTTTGTTTCTATCTGCTAATTAAGATTCTGCTCTTGTGATTACAAAACAATCTCTTCTCTTACAAATACCAACTCCTAGCCAGACTGTAGAGTATTTTAGGGAAGCAAACATTGATGAAGATCATTAACATCATGTTCATTATCAACAAATACAATTTTTCCATCCAATTCATATTAGTTAGAAAATGTGCTGATGTGGGGCGCCTGGGTGGCTCAGTTGGTTAAGCCACTGCCTTCGGCTCAGGTCATGGTCCTGGAGTCCCGGGATCGAGTCCCGCATCAGGTTCCCTGCTCGGCGGGGAGTCTGCTTCTCCCTCTGACTCTCCCCCCTCTCATGTGCTTTCTCTCTCTCAAATAAATAAATAAAAATCTTTAGAAAAAAAAAAAAAGAAAATGTGCTGATGTACTGATTCTATTTGCTAGTGTTACTGAGGCTTTTAAAGGGGCCATTTCTATACCATTTATTTGTTTGGTTGGATGTAAACTAAGTCAGATGATAAGAGGGATGAACCACATTGTACTACTTGACACCCTCCCCCTCAGCAAGGATTCTTAAGAGCGTTTGTTTGTGGGGAAAAAAGGATTAAGTTCATCCTCTAGATAGAGACCACACTGCTCATCTCAACCTGATTGAAGTCCTAATCCCAAGAGACTTGGAATTCCCATGATGAGGGAAAGACAAGCTGATCTCATTCTTTACCTTCTCTTACCAGAAACTCCCTACAAGACTCTGCTTAAAAATTCTTTTTATCATATCTGTGTTATCATGTGTCATGTTATATATAATGCAATTATATACTGTGTTTCTCAACTTCTTTCAAGGCAGCAAGGCACTGTGTCCTTGTTTTTGAATCCTTGGTGCTTCTAAAATGCCTGCCACAGAGAAGTAGGCTAAATGAGTAAATGAATGAATGAATGAATAATAAAATAGTGAATTGACTGAATGAATCTTACTTCTTACATCCAGCAGTTACAAAAATACATTCTATAGATAGCTTTCAGAATGGCAGGTCACACGTTGAGATATTTGGTTTACTTTTAAAAAACTAAACTTGAAACTTCGGAAGCCCAGCATAATTTTAAATTTTGCTCCCATAATGATCCATGGTAATACCTAATTGTCTCGGCAAATTTGCCCGAAGGACAGTGACAGAACTGAGGGCTAGGTCAGCATTACACCACAACGAGGCACAATATGCTGAAGCTATTAGTGACTACAGAAAAACTGGAATACAACTTTTCACACACTCTTCTATCCAGAATACTATATTTTAATGAAGTCATTCAATCTATTAGTGCATTGAGCTAAACCCAAAACCATTTAGTAGTTAATCATACTTACTTTGGTTTGCAAGTAGTTTTTCCAGAGATTGAGACCACTGCATTACTTCATTAATGGAGAGTCTGCTGGGGACAAAATTCACATAAATTAGTAAAATATTCTTGTGTGTGTGCAATCACACATGAAATCAGAATGGCTGCTACATTTTGATAACTCCATGAACTAAGATTCCAGTTCCATACATTTTCTTAAAATTTATCTATAAGAAAACAAAACTTCCTTTAGAATTACTAGAAAATATCTGCCAATAAAATGTGAAGAAATCCAAATACATCTACTCTAACAGTGTAGCAAATAGCAAATTATGCACACATATGTTGGTACTTAATTTACATTGATACTAATGTAGTCTACTCTTACTTGGCTTGTTACTTAAAAGAAACAAAGTCTAGTATGTGCAGTATTAATCACTTGCTAGAATAGAGAGATAATGCACAGGCTTCTCTTAAAATGATAGTTCAGCATATTAGTATACATACATGTCTTTGGATTTAGAAGGTTTAATTCCAGGTTCCAGATGTGGGATCATAGATCTCAGGTACGCTTTCACATCCATTCTACTACAAAAGATACAAACATGAATATTTGCATTTCTTCAGTAGAATACATTTTATTTGCACAAGGAACATGAAATAGACTTTTCCAAGGAACAAGGCAATAATAAAAAGAGCTGTTACAACATTTTTCTATATTAAGATTGAGCTAATTTTTATGAGCCAAAGTCTGCAAAAATTTCCACATAATTTAATGCCCTATTGTGATTCATTTTTTAAATACAACTGAATGTACTTATATACATATACAACAGCTAATTTCTCTGATTTAATTAACTAAATGCTCATATTTTCTTCCACTCATTCTCAATCCTTCTGCCATTAAAGATAATCTAAGTCCAAATTCACAAAGTGAGACACCAAATGAACTTACAAAGTCTTTGGCCTCTTTTTATGCGTTTTATCATCTAGAAGTGAATGATCAGTTTCTTTTAATTCCTTTGGATTAGCAGAGAAGAACATTCCTGGCATTTTGTCTAACCTTGGCGTGGAGAAGGCTGCTCTTCGTATAGTCCTCACTCGGCAAATATCTGCTCGTCAACATATCTGCTGCTTTATATAGTAAAGGCAGACGGGCTCTTGCTGTTCAAATGAGTCTGTTTATCAAGTGATGTTACCACAGACACTGGAAGTTCCCTCTTTCTTGGTGTGTTATGACGTGTATCTTGAAAAAAAGAAGCATACAGTGATGTCTTGTGGTTGAAACTCAACCAAACGAGAATAGGTCACTTGATTAAAAAGAAAGAAAGAAAATTAAGCATACAGAGGCACACACCCATATACCACATGTCTAAAGTATTAGCAGCATCAGTCTTTGGTTTGAGGGGACACTTGTTTCTTCATGAAGATTGCATATTTCAATAAAATATTTCATTTAGTGTACTTATTGTATCACACAGAAACTCAGTATTAGAGATGTATCCCCTCAATTCTTTGAATAATCCTTGATTATAAAATTCATCTGATCACAATATTTTTACTTTTTTATTTTTTTAAAGATTTTATTTACTTATTTGAGAGAGAGGGAAAGAGCAGGAGCAGGGGGGAGGGAGAAGCAGACTCCCTGCTGAGCAGGGAGCCGATGCGGGGCTCAATCCCAGGACCCTGGGATCATGACCTGAGTCAAAGGCAGACACTTAAATGACTGAGCCACCCAGGCTCCCCTGATCACAATATTTTAAAGAATTCTTTTTATTTCTTTCAGAAAGTAGTGTAAAGTAAACAATTACGTTTTTGTTTGATTATTTGTGTATATATTTGATAGGAAGGAGAGTAATGAGAGGTTATCTTAACTTCTCCCCACCGCACCTCCCATCCCTTACTTCCATGGCATGAAATTTCCATGTTAGTGTTTTCCAAAGTATGTGCTAGACCTTCTGGTGATATATAAGATAACTTTAAGGGGCTCATGAATATTAATATTTACTAGGAATATAATTAATATATCAAACTGTGATTTTTTGTATATTACTGCTTAGGATAAGAATAAAGGAAAATTAAACAAAACTATAAATACATAAAAGTAGAGTTAACATACTAATATGATACAATATGTAAATATAATGACACTAAAGAATCACACAGTATCCAAAGAAAACTGCCCAAGATAAAATGAGAGTATATTTGGATAGGCCAATAATGTGTACTTCTTAGGGGATGGTCTTCCAAATTTTGGCATTATCTCTGGAGAGAGCCAGTCTAGCTTTAATTAAGATTAAGGATTTACAAAACCACAATGAGATACCACCTCACACCAGTCAGAATGGCTAAAATTGTAAGTCAGGAGATGATAGATATTGGCAAGGATGTGGAGAAAAGGGGACCCTCTTACACTGTTGGTGGGAATGCAAGCTGGTGCAGCCACTCTGGAAAACAGTATGGAGGATCCTCAGAAAGTTAAAAATAGAGCTACTTTATGACCCAGCAATTGCACTACTGGGTATTTACCCCAAAGATACAAATGTAGGGATCCGAAGGGGTACGTGCACCCCGATGTTTATAGCAGCAATGTCCACAATAGCCAAACTATGGAAAGAGCCAAGATGTCCATCGGCAGATGAATGGATAAAGAAGAGGTGGTATATATATACAATGGAATACTACTAAGCCATCAAAAAAATGAAATCTTGCCATTTACAATGACATGGATGGAACTAGAGGGTATTCTGATAAGCAAAATCAGAGAAAGACAATTATCATATGATCTCACTTATATGCAGAATTTTAAGAAACAAAACAGGATCATAGGGGAAGAGAGGAAAAAATAAAACAAGACAAAATCAGAAAGGGAGACAAACCATAAGAGACTCTTAATCATAGGAAACAGGTTGTTGGAGGGGAGGGGGCTGGGAGTCTGGGATAACTGGGTGACAGACATTAAGGAGGACACATGGTGTAATGAGCACTGGATATTATATAATACTGATGAATCACTGACCTCTACCTCTGAAACCAATAATACATTATATGTTAATTAATTGAATTTAAATAAAAAAAGAAAAAAAAAGTTTACCAAAATCCGCCCCCCCAAGAAAGATTAAGGATTTAAAGAAAGCAAACAAACAAAAAAAACACCCCAAAACAAAACTTAAATCCAATGAATTAGGTGACTACTCAGTGATGAAGGTAGAGGTGTTAGTGCAATGTAAGCTTTTATAGAGTTTATCAATGAGTATCCAGTTTAACGTAAACCTCCTTTGTTTTTTGTCCCTGAAAAGACAAAACAAATTTTATACAGAGAGGCTTCTGATGGTGTTATGTAAAGTTGACAAGAAGAAGAGAGTAATACTTTTCGGTATTACTTGATGATAGAGTATTCTATCAAGATAAAAAATAATTAAAGAAATCATATTTATAATATTTCAAAATTCACTTATTAAACACTCATGAATATGTATATTACTCTGTATGTGCAAACATCTTTTGATGTTTGCAAGATAACATGATGTAGAAAGAGAGCTAGTGAGATGAGCTAGCCACTTTGGAAGTGACCCAAACAAAATCGATGGGGCTTAAAAACTGATGACAGAAGGGCATTTGTTTGTATATTTCTTGTGGTTCAGTCTATATTTACTTTTCTGTTAAAATCTTCAACATTGCTCATGTTGGTTTATCTGGTAGCCTCTCATTTCTCTAGATAATTGTGGGTACATTATGTTAGAAAAACATAATTTAATATTTATTTTTATTGGCCTGCTATTATTGTTATCCAAATATGCTGACAATGTGCAGAGTATGTTTCTGCAACAATAGTTCCTTCAGAGGCAAATTAACAATATTAGGACAAAGCAGCAAAGGTTATGGGGCCATGTAAGTTTGGGAAATTAAGGTTAAATAAGGTTCTTAAATTGGTTAAGGCAGATCTTCTGAGAACCTTTAATATGTTAACACATATGTGTCTATCTCTAAAAGGAGGGTAGAATATGTGGCAATTTTCTAACATTTTTGAGACATGAACCCTCATTAGGTAGAGAATGTAGTCTGCAGAAATAATATTCTCTGGATAGATTAGGAAACTCTGGTCTGAGATAGCGATAAGTATTCATATCATCTATTAATAATTCTTTTACACCTCTAATTTTTTGCTACCTAAATACCGACTTCCAAGTTCAAGCATTTGCAAGCAAGTACTTGCATGTAATTGCATGCTTCCAAGCCCAAACAGAGAATTAAACTCCTGATAGAGGGGGTCCTACTGAAATTCCTATGTCACAATTGACTGTTGAAGCCAACTCCACGGCACACTAATGTAGCTGCTCTCTCAAAGGCTGCTTGCTAGCACATGGAAAGCATGTATGTGCCAGAGCCAGGCAAATTTGGCGGGCTGGATCAGCAAGGACTGATGAGTCCAGGGCAGGGCATTGAAAATTCTCTATGAATCTTACAGTGTCACTGTCTGGCCCCTCTTTGTGAAATTCATTAAGAAAAGACAAATGACAAAATAGTAACTTTACTGAATCTATCACTTTGGTTGAAACTGTAGAGAATTTGATAAAAACCAGTAGAAGAAACAGTGGCTCTCATAAACACAATCTTGTTTGTATATTTCCTCTGTGAAATTGTGCATAAGTAATTACTGGAGTCATAAGAAAAGGAATATTGCATGTGGTCTTAGTGTTATTTAAAAAAAAAATTAATAGACTTTAGTTTTAGAGCCGTTTAGGTTTACAGGAAAACTGAGAGGAAAGTACAGAGAGTTCTCACATACTCTCTCCACCTGGCCACAGCCTTCCCCACCATCAACATCCCGCATCAGTGTGGTATTATTTGCTGATGAACCTACGTTGACACATCATCATCACCCAAAGTCCTTAGTTTACATTATGGTTTCCTCTGATGGTGTACATTCTACGGGTTTTGACAAATGCATAATGACACGTATCCCCCATCATAGGATCATACAGAATAGTTTCCCTGCCTTAAAAATCCCAGGGTGATATTTTAAAATGTCTAGGAGATTGGTTCAATAAAACATTTCTGATTATGGCTATCAATTTCAACGGGGAAAATTTTAATTTTTGCTGAGTTGATTTTACATTTTGGCTTCAATTACTCCAGCCACCTGAATCCTAGTAGGGAATGCTTGGCTATATGACTTTCTCAAACTTGATATTGATTAAACTGATTTTGAACCTTTGCTGAAATTTTGTTGTGGAAGTTAGGAATTATGGGGAAAAGGACATAATGAGTATGAGATTGCATCTTAAAAATGAAAATATATCTATACCATTAAAGTCAGTGACATGAACAGAAATTTTGATTCATTAAAACAAAATGTCTTGAGGGGTCCCTGGATGGCTCAGTCGGTGAAGCCTCCGACTCTTAATTTAGGCTCAGGTCATGATCTCAGGGATGGAGGATTGAGCCCTGCATGGGGCTCTGTGCTGAGCCTGGAGCCTGTGTAAAAAAATTTCTCTCTCTCCCCCTCTGCCCCTACCATCCTCTCCCCCCACCCCCACAAGCACTCTCTCTCTCTCTCAAAAAAAAAAATAAATAAATAAATTAAGTTTTAAAAAGTCCAGATTTAACAAACTTTACTTGCAGTCCTACAATGTATCCGATATAGGTACTGCAAATAGAAAGATGAATGAATCTCTGTCCTAAAGGGTTTACAGTATAGTAGAGCAAATGTATTTAAGCAAGTAGTCAAAGTGAAAAGTGCCATCAGAGAGGAATGCATAAGAGGAGTGATTAACTCTGAATGCGTGGGACAGAAACAAAATGCTGTTTCCATTTACTGCAAAAACAGCATGTATCTCTTCTCTGCCTGTTTCTGCATTCCAGATCAACACCCCTTGGAAAGTATAAAAGGCTGCAGTGGAGAAACTGGTCTTCAGCAAGTAGACACCTCTTACATGTATACTGATCATGGAAGAATGGATCCAGGATTTTTCTCTATGTCTAGGTAGAGGGATATAATCACACATTTTAGCCTTGCTTATGATTTTATTTTCTAAATGAAGAAATCACCTGATAAGTTTGAGTAAGATATTTGCAACTTGGTGAAATTCAGTGATCTCAGAAAACTCAAACTGAGCAAGATAAGAATCTAGTTTCTTTTTCCCACTCTGTTCTAATCTACTTATAGTCAA